AAAAAAAAATATGTTGTAATACATGGCGATTCTATTACATCCGTGGGTCACAAAGTACTGTAATAACTAAGCGAACGTGTGCATCATTTGTGAGCCAATAGAATCCTTTCGTTTATATGAGGACAACTTCTAGTACAAATAAATATGAAGAATTTCTAATCTTCTTTGTGCGCAATATTATTATTGTAGTGCAGATGCAATGTAAGAAACGTCAATTTTCAATGTTACGTTTTGTAATATGGCTTTGAAGGATAATCTCTTTTAACGGTTACAAGTAAGATCGCGTAATGGGGAACGATATTTTGTAGGACATAATTTTGGAGAAGTGTTTATCGCAACATCAAATCAAACCAATTGAGCTACATATAAAATGGGTATCTTTTTTACACTCTTTACTATGTTTAGCATTCGCGCTTGAACGCATATTAAGATAGTCTTCGTTAACAGTTAACAGACTTGGTATTTGGTGACCTGGAGTGTTACTTCTAGAGATTGCTAGCCAAATTGTCAGCAAAATTGGCGTGGTGGGTAATAATAATTGCGTGCATGTATGCGTGTATGCGTGTGTAAATAGAAAAGCGTTAGTTTCGAATCGAAAGGCGCGAACCGTTATACACCTCAATCTTGGCATGTTTTTTTTAAACGTATTGATATCAGTCAAAGCTTCACTCATCCTGACACCTCTTGCCGTGCCGTGGTTGGCGAGTCCTGTTGTGTCCTATTTCGTCCCTGCAGCCTGGCAGCCGAATTGTCGGCTAAATTGGCCCGCTGAGCAATAATTGCAATCTGCTGCGACCTGCCGTGACTTGTCCCAGGCCTGGCGGCGCGGCGGTGTTTCGTACCCTGCCGTGCCCTGCCGTGCCCTGCCTGTCGCTTGACCTGGGCCAAAGCCAGAACTCCGCGTGCGGGTTCGCGCCTGTTGTGACTGAGCTCATCGCTCGGCGCTCGCCTCGGCGGTGACGTCAGCCGGGCGGTGTGTGGGGCGGGACCAAAAACACTCTTTCACCCCTGGGAGGCGATGCGCTTGCGAAGATTCCAGACGCCGCGTAATCCCTTCAGAAAGAACGCGGGACACGCGGTGCGTCGGCTGCAAGAATAGACGCAGCACTGTTCGCGCTGGTTAATGATTAGGACGACTGCATGATCCCACTTAATGCAGACTGAGCAAGTGTCATCAACACATCGGCGATAATGAAGCTGTTGAAATATAATATGTTTGTTGAAAAATCCTCCCCACTTGGAGTACCTCGCATTAAGCGTAAGCTTGTAACTTGTAAACTACGAAATTATGTAGCTTTAATTTGAAAAGTATTTTCAAGCTACATTTTCAATCCAATAATTTCCTAATCATGTTGTTTTAATTAATCGATAGTCCTTTCTAAACTTCATTTTAAAATCATGAATTGTGTATATATTATAGTTTTTAGTAACTCAGATTAGGATAACATTTTAAGTACATTCCGTTTCACCATTTGCTTCACGAGAAAAATGCAAGAAAATCCAATCCTTCTCGGTATGATTTACGCAAATGGCTAACAGGTTGTGAAGTGCAAGGTAAGTTTTGTTGTTGATCAAGTCTTTCATTGCCAATTAAGGAGAGTACTTGAAATAGAGAAGGATATTTTGACATGAAAAATTTATCAAACGCTATAAAAAAACAAGAAATATCAAAGTATCTCATATATAGAATTCAATGAATCTTAAACGCGTGGGAAAAAAAATGGTATCCATGGTATCCGATTTCTGAATTATTGTCACAGCTACAGTTTTTTAGAATCTGAATATCTTGAAATCACGTCTGCGCGTGTTTCATGGAAATAATGCTTTGGAGTGTAACGATATCAGTGAGACTTCTTTTGAATAAATATAATTAAAAAATACGAAAAAAAAGAATAGAGACCACCACTGTGTAAATGCATAGTTGGAAAAAAAAATCCCATCTTTCCCATATCCACCCAAGATGATGCCAGCGAAAACATCTATAGAACTTACAGTGGCAAAACAATTGCATGTCTCTCTGATTTGTAGTGTATAAGCTTTATTTCATCCCTGCAATTTCCGGTTTATCTGGATTCATGAATCCAAATTATTTCTGTAGCTAGCTCTGATAAACTGTATTCCAAACTCCCTGCACCCTACTCTAACGTAGTACGTAACGAACGAAACACGAAAATGACTTGTTTCACACCAGTACGTCGTTACAAAGATCTTTTTCTGCTGTCCTAGCTGAGCCTCCGACCAACTGCGTCTTCCTCCCCCCCCCCCCACTTCTCTGGAGAGACGTCGGCGCGCGCGGCCTCGCGGAGCAGTTATGAATGAAACGCTAAAGCGTTATCCACCAACTTCGCCGGGGCCCTGGCCGAGCCGCGCGCGCCTGTCCTGTGCGATCACGCTCCCCAAACAGCCGCTGCTTTGCTGGGCTTGCTCTCTACAATGTGCTGCGATCTACAGTGATCACGCCAATCGCCACGCGTGATTTCAAAAGTTGGCGGTTCACAAAATTAAGCCAAAGCAGAGCACCGTACAAAACAAGTGACGGGATGAGGAATTTGTCTCCCCACTCAAAAACAAACAAACAACAACAACAACAACAACGCCGCGTACACGAAAGCGTTCTTCGTGCTCTTTGGTCTAATGGATTGTCTAATGGATGCGATTATCTCTCTTGTTAGTAATTACACAAGTGAAACATATGCTTGTTACATTTAATTAAAACAAATTCAAATAGCAATTTTTTGTTCCAGCTCAAATGTGCTACTGACACCAGCCGCGGCATAATAACCATTGCCAGGACCGGGTTAAGAGAAAGGCGAGAGGGACTGAG